GGCATTGTTTGATATTTTCCCACAAAACATCTAAGTAGGTTTTTCAGGCTTCAGTTCACTACTTCAGTCGGATCATCTATTTGTGTATAGGCGGCTGAACTGAATTGGAGCTCGGTGTCTAACTTTCCCCATAAAGTTCACCAAAAGTGACACAGAAATTTGACATCTCTGTCATAATGGTTCTGGAGATCCTGTGTAATCTGACAATCACTCAGAAGTATAAGTCAGCGATATGAGGGCGTCTAGTGTGTGGTAACAGTGTATGAAATGTGTCATTTTTAAAAATCAATTCACAACAACAATTACAATATCTTTGTTCATTTGTTTTATGGTGAGACCCAGTACGACGTCCATGCTGACATCCACACAGGGTGTTTACAGTACAGGCAAAGGCATATACAACCCTGTATTTTGCCCTCTTGTTTTTGCCAAATGGCCAATCTTGCATTTTCGGGTGTGTCGCTCTACATGCCTTGTTAGTTGAGGCCAGAAGAGGTGTTCTTTGACGAGGATGAGAGCATTGTCTCTGCTAAAATGTCTAGCGAAGCCTCCAATATGATCTCTTGCACAATTGCTTCTCTCAAGGAGCACCTTGGAATGCATAGTTTATTGCAGAAAAACAAGCAGCCATCTGCAAGTAGCCATCTGCACAGTAGTAGTGCCCTGTCAGTTTTTCCTGACATTGTTCCCAGATATCTTTGAGGCCTTCGTCTGTTGTGTGTAGGTCATTGATGATCTCGAACCCTATGATGCTTCTTTGCATTGAGCTAATTAATAAGTGGTGTCTACTTATGCATCTGCAACGCGGTTCTGGCTCCCAGCTTTGTGTTTAAGTACGAAATTGAATAGTCCCAAAAATTCTACCTATATTGGGCGTCGGTCTTTAAGCTTGCTCTGGCTGTTCAAAAATTTCAAGGCTTCGTGATCTGTAAACAAGGTGAACTCACTTGTTATTAGATAGTGGCTCCACTACTCAAGGGCTCGTACAATTGCGTAGAATTCTTTATTGTAGGTTGAGTACTTCCTCCTGAACTGTTGAGTTTCTCACTGAAAAAAAAGATGAGGTGACCTCCCTGGCTCAGTACGGCCTCGTTTCGACGCATGATGCATCACATTCTACTTTGAACAGTTGTGTAAAACCTGGCAATGCTAGAAATGGTGCTTGAGCTACTTTTTCTTTGAGTGTGTCGAAGCTAGTCTGTGCAGTGCTTGGTCAAGTGAACTGTCTTTTAAAAGCTCGATGAGGGGAGCGGTAACAATGCTAAAATTTTTTATGAAACGAAGGTAGAATGATGCTAACCCCAAAAACTGTCTTAATTCGGTGAACGATCGAGGTGTGGTCCAGCTTATAATGGCTTTAATTTTTGTTGGGTCCATTTGAATGCCTGCACTAGATGCTATGTATCCAAAAAAAGCATACTTTAGCCTAATATATATAACATTTTAATAGTTAACCTAATTAAATTCTCAAAATCATCTTTTAAACTTCAGTCAATCGCCATAACCCAAAAACACAACATTGCTTCATTTTCTTCCTCCTCTGCCTTAGGCTTGGCTCAACTTATCCCACGCAGAGCCTCTCTTATTTCCTCACACGAAACCTGACCTCCTCCTTTGCACGTGATCTAAATCATTCACGTACGCATGAGACCTGCTCGACACCTCTTCCTTCAACTTCTGCGTCCTCACTGAGCACTAGCATCAAACTTATTCTGCTCGACTACATCGTCATCAATTGTAGAAGCCCTCGATGTTCCAATTGGAATCAAACCTCTAAGAAGATACCTCTCGACTCTCATTCTCCGGCTCTCAATCCTGCCTCCACCCCCCTTCATTAGCGTCGCTTTATAGAACAACAGTACCCTTTCATTTCCCGACGTCAACATTTCCTTTCCCTCTCTTCGGCCCCTCCCTTGAGTATATGAAACAAGACGTCACAAAAAGCATCTCTTCCACGTCAGTTGGAAGTTGAGAATCGTCTCTGACATCTTCATCCTTTCTATTATCACTATCTTTTTTTTCCAACCACTCCTTGCTCAATGAAAGAGATCTCCCTCCTATTTGGGCAATCAAACATCATGCGGACAAAAGAGAAAAACTTTAGGCATTTACCAGCAAAAATGGATTTGGAAATATTGGTAGTCTCTGCCTTTTCTCCAGTCTATATAGGTTACTCTTTTGGCTAGGTAGACGTGAACGCTCCATTGGGTGTACTCTTGCAGCCTGATCTGATTGCAGAATTCTGTTTGAGAGATGATGTGGGCCCGATACAACCGTGTTATCTCTTCCACCTTCGGGGCTAGAGTCTGGACATTCTATAAAGCCCAATAAGACAATAATTGTACCACATTGCTAATAGATGATCTTAATCCCCAAGATATCGAGCTATAATGTTTTGCTCAGGCTCTACTAGCCCAAACATCAACACAAGCTATTTAAACTGAACTATGTATTCCTTCACTGAGAGAGCTTGTTGCTGCAAGTAATGAAGTCTCAAGAACATATCCTATCTAGAACGAACTGGTAGGTATTTGTCCTACATCTCTCGTTTCATCTGAGACCAAATAGTGATTTTGTTTTTTCTTCTCGTTGTGGAAAATGCTTTAGATTCTCCCACTATAGAAATGCATTCTTCTATAACTCAATGGAGGCTAGCTTGACCATTATGTACGGTGGAATATCCTTATATTCAAACATTTGTTCCACTGTCTGAAGTCACTCGATGAATTCATCTGAATCTAAAGGACCGTCAATATCCGACAAATCAATCTTTGCATGAAAATCTTGACTTCTTCTATGATATGCTATGTCAAATCGTTGAGGTAATTGTTTTTCCTAACGAGAAACTATCTAGTGAAAGAAATTCACTTCCTCCTCTTGATCTGGTGAATCATCATTGTGACTATGGGTAAAAATACCGGATTCTCTTCTCGAAGGTGGAAAATCTTATTGTAATAGAAAATTTCTCACTGCATATCCTCTATAGTAAGCTCTTGGACATCTTTGTCGTGACTTCCTCCTATGTGGCATGACGTCCATTTTTCCCGATTAAGTTTTCGGGGGGACATAAGATTGCAAATCAAGATTAGACGGGACTTTAGGGTTTTGGTGGTAGATGTCGGGGTGCATATTTAATGAAAATAGGAAAGTTGCATTTTTTTTTTTTAATTTAGATTTGGGACTAGGAATTGTGGTATGAATGGTTTGGGTATTGTAAAAAGAAATTGAAATTTTGGGTCGGGATGAGAAAGACAAAAAGCTAAAAAATTTAGGGAGTAAAAGACTCTGATACCATATAATACCGTTTTATGGCTCCTAAAATATATTTAGGAAAGTATTTAGAGGGAAAGTTGCTGTGGAATAGTGAAAGAATGAAATATGGGAGTTTGACGACATTTAGATGGGGATAGACATCGATCGACGATGGCCTCAACTGAAATCAGCAAAGAAAACTACGAATCGGCGACGTTCGATCAGCGAGGAAGTTCCACGTTCCTAATTAAAATATAGATACACTGCTTAAAAAAGAAAGAGGATGCAACACTCTGAAAAGCATAGCACAGAGAAAAGTCCCTTATTTCATAAAATCAACAAAAAACTGAAATCCAAACAACTCAAAAGAAATATATAAAGCCTCCATAATAAGAAAAAACCTAAATCGGAAATTAAAGAAAAAGGAAATAGCTGAAATAGGTAGACCCGCTCGGCTGCAATCCCGCATCGCGGCAATCCCGTACTCGTGACCCCTGCGTGCAAGAAGGAATAACGAAGGAATCCCATATTCACAGGATCGAGGATGAACACAGCTCCTGCGTTCATGAAGAATATGTCCCGCATCATCAAGATTCATGAAAAATCGTTCTAAAAGAGCTCCAAGTACCTCCCTTGAGTATTCCAAGTCCACGGCTTGAGTATATATGTCAACCCTCACCAATGTTATAAATGGCCATGACAATGAACAAAGGGTGCCATCGAGGTGATGTTATCATCCTTAAGGTTTCATGACTTAGAGATTCACGCACACAGACATATATCCATAAAGAAGCATTTCAAAACAAACAGCATGTGATGATATGATCCTTAAGGTGATGTTATGAACCTTAAGGTTTCATAAATTAGAGATTTCCACGCACAGAGATATATATTCATAAAAAGGCATTTCAAAACAAACAACACGTGATGGGCCGGAGCACAGTTTATACTGTAATTCAAAGAAGATCAATTGTTTTCATTTTATTCATGCAAGCAAGGACCACAGAAATCAACTGAGGAAGCCTAGATGCTCCTCGACAAGAACTTCATGGAGGAGCCAAAGTACCACAACCCCGGCAATTAGTGGCAACACTATCAATGAGCCCAAATGCCCTTTGTGCAGGAGTAAGGCCAACTGTACAAGGAAAAAAACTGCTCAACTCAATTGGGCCGAGTCTTTCCTTACCCGATTCTGCTAAGATCATTCATCATCGAGACATCTTGCATACTTCAAGATCAATGAGAGTTTGCTTTAAATTTCCACGGATTTACCTTGAGATTCATACTTTACTAATACTTACATACTCAAGAAGTGTTGTGGAGCCAACTCAAGCACCTTTCGATCCGATCCATACCAGTTGAGTTGACAATAAGCACAATATATTTCAATTGCCCTTTTAAAATCAATTGCTAGATATCAGTAGAATCACATAAATGTGTCACGGTTATTATTTGAAGTTTTCCTAACCTTGTATATGTAATAGAAGAACACATAGACGTTGATTTCTTTCGGTTCTTCCCAATTATGGGAGCATTTAAATCTTCCCAATTTAAAAGCTTAACCATCTCCAATACCAAAACATGAAAAAATAAAACATCCCAAAAATAATATCATCTTTATAAGACTATCACAGAAAAAAAATAGCATTTCAAGTGAGTATTATTGACGCATTGAAAAGCTGTATTAACGGAACGACCATAATAGATCCAACTAAAAGAAAGTTCTCTCGAAGGCTATAAATACATACCAAAAATTGACGAGGATCCGGCCACGCCGATCTGTTAAAACGCTTCACGGCAATCCTCCTCGCTGCATCTAGCTTCCCCTTATATACAACATTGGGAGCTTTCTCTCCATGCTCTGAAACAATATTCTCAGCAGCAAACCCGGAAGTGGCGAGCCTGAGTTGCTCAAAAGAGAACTCCTGGAATGGCGGCAGTTCGTAGGTATCCGTTTTCTCCTCTCTCACTGCAACACCAAAAACCACCGGCATCACCAAACCCCATCTCACAATGAACAGAAACAAATCAAACCACATTCCAAAACCCACACGCACCAACATCCGGAGCCTCCAGAACCGTTCCCTTCATCTGCGAGCCCCAACAGCAAGCAACTAACTTAGAACTATTCGACCCCATCCCAAAATAGCAAAGATCCTCAGGCTAAGGGAAAAAAAAAAAAAAAAAAAAAAAAAAACTTGAGTAAACAACTACAGAGCTCCTCCTCAAGCCACCTGCATCAAATCCGCTGCTGCAGCAAGTTGGAACCAAGTTTTCCAAATCAATCAAATACCATGCCAAAATCCCCCCATGCCTCGACAAAATGAAAACAACAATTACCTAAAATCGCCACAGCAAGGAGAATCGCTAACAACCACGTTTGTAATCAAAGTTCTGGAGTCGAAAAACCTGCAACGGATCGAGATACGAGGAGCAAAAAATCTCTTATCGATCGGAAGGCTCCCGAGGAAAATGGAGAGAGACTGGAAGATTCAGAGCGCGTCTCTCACGCAGGAGAGAAGACAGAGAGCAAGAAACATCGGATCGCGTATGGACTTCATGGTCAGTATTATTACTCGCAAGAACAATTCCTTAATATTGTTTTGGATTTATTAAAAATAAAAATAAAAATAAAAAAAAGCTATCTAATTTTTGTTGTCAAATAAAAATTTGGGGGTCTGTCTCCAATGAGTACTTTTGGCTTCTTCTCTGTTCTATTGTTCTCATCACTTGAGGCGCGCGTGACAACGGCACGTGTGATGTAGCTTTGTGTAGTGATTAATGAGAAAGAAAACTAAAAAATTAATGAAAATAATCTCCACACCCATTTAATTTTTTGCCTAATTTGTACTACATTATTATTGGGC